GGGGTGGGTGATGTGTTTAAGATAATTTGAAGAATTCCTAAAAAATTATCCTGCCTAGAGAAAAGTGGGGTGCATAAACTCAAATTCTAGTAAAATTACTGGACTTAATGGTTTGATTGAGCCTGGAGGAACCCCGGAAGACATGGCCCCCAGACTCTCTGTTAGCCCAAAACTAAAACCATTCCTGAGGCCAACTCTTCTGACAAAGATTAGACTGGACTATGGGACATAAAATTCTCATGAAAAGTATGCTTCTTAGCTCAAGTAGATACATGAGACTAAATGGGCAGCTCCTGTCCAGAGGCTATATGAGAAGGCAGAGAGGGTCAGGAGCTTGTTGAATGGACACGGGAAATCTGGGGTAGAAAGGAGGAGTGTGCTATCACAGTATAGGGAAAGCAACTAGTATCATATAACAATTGGTGTATAAATATTTGTATGAGAGACTAACTTGAATTGTAAACTTTCACTAAAGCACAATTAAAAAAGAAAATTATCCTGCCTAAAATTCTCTCTCACCAGCTGGCTCTGATGTCCATAATTCATTTATTACACTGTCTTCAGGGTGACCTTAGGAAAGCAGTGTCCAGGAAGGAATAAAATAACCTGTCATATAGTTCCCTTCAGGTGTCAGTGTCTTATTTATTGCTAGGAAGCCAGGAGAGGATGGGGAGATGGTGCTGAGCTCAAGATAAGCTCTTCTTGCTTTGTCATTTTGCTAAGCATGGACCCTGCCAAAGGAGTTACTTACTGCCTCGGTCTCTGGCACCTTCCAAGGTTCTTGGAGCTTCCTGAGAGTACAGATGAAAAAGATATTCACGATCTCATACTCAGAATCTGCAATAGACCAGTCTTCTTACCTCTGGCAAGATACCTGCATACAACCCATCAAGTTGTTCAGAGTTTTGATATAAAAGGCAGAATTCCCCAAAGCAATTTCAAATGAACTGCCTTCTCCAGGCTAAATCTTTTTCAGGTTGATGGTAACTATCCAGGAGGCTTAAGACAGTTTGGACGTGACAAGAATTCTTCTGTTTTTCCAGGTGTGTGTTTTATCCTTGGCACTGAATCAAATTGTTGGAATGGTTTGCTCCTCTTATCGCTACAACTCTTCCTGGGAAACTAGCATTCACAATTAATAAGCCTTGAAAGCAACGTAGTCAGGATCTGTTCTAATACCCTCACTTTACAGATGAGGAAACTAAAGCACAGGGATGATGGCTTAAAGAGGGAAAATTGCACAGTGGACATGGCATAAGTTTTGGAAGCAGACACACTTGGGTCTACCACTTCCCAGCTGTGTGAACTTGGACAAGTTAATTAATATATCTGAGCCTCACTTCCTTCTCTTATAAAGAGAATTCTTGGAGAAATGGTGTGTATAAACCACTACTCAAAGAATGAACTCAAAACTTGGTCAGTATATTATAATTGCTATTGTTTTATGCAGCTGAACCCAAAGCCAGGATTAGGACTTGGGTGTCCAACTATCAACCTGTTTTCACTACCCATACCATTTTTTATAATATCCAAGCATATGTGTCATATTAAATAGTAGTAGTTTGCTCAAAGAAACTCTTACAACCTGGCTATTCTTAGGATTTTATACCCTTAAACAAGAATTTTTCCAGTATGGAAAAAAATACACAGTTCTAAGAAATGAAATCTAAACATAGTAGAAAAATTATGCAGCAGGGGGAGCACTGAGAGCCTGTCATGGATTGAATTGTGTCCCCCAAAAATATCTGTCAACTTGCCTAGGTCATGATTCCCAGTATTGTATGATTGTCTACCATTTTGTAATCTGATGTGATTTCCCTACGTGTTGTAAGTCCTATCACTATGATGAAATAAGATGGATTAGCAGCAGTTATATTGATGAAATCTACAAGATTAGATAGGGTCTTAAGCCAATCTCTCTTGAGATATAAAAGAGAGAAGCAAGCAGAGAGACATGGGAACCTCATACCACCAAGAAAGCAGTGCCAGGAGCAGACCACGTCCTTTGGACCTGAGGTTCCTGCACAGAGAAGCTCCCAGACCACGGGAAGATTGATGACATGGACCTTCCTCCAGAGTCAACAGAGAAAGCATTCCCCTGGAGCTGACACCCTGAATTTGGACTTGTAGCCTACTAGACTGTGAGAGAATAAATTTCTCTTTGTTAAAGCCATCCACTTGTGGTATTTCTGTTATAGCAGCACTAGATGACTAAGACAGAGCCAGATTTAATTCTCATTTTCTAGACTCCAACAGACTAGTCTTCACACTTCTTCATCCCACTGTATTTCACAGAACTGCTTGAGGTCTGGTGGGCTTTCTCATATGCCTGCTTTTTTATGTATCTGTTCACTTCCAGAGTTTATAACCCAGGATCAAAGGAAGTGTCTGTTGGGTTTGGTTAATGTTTGAAGACCCTTTTCTCCTCTTCACTTTACTCCATGGCAAAAATCCAGAATGATTCTGTCAGTGCGTTAACCTGACCGTTAGGTAAGAGGAACATATGCCTTTGGACCAGAACCTGGTACATTTTAAACACAGCAGGACACCTCTGCTTCTCTCTCCTGGTGCCTGAGGTGACTGTTATTGTTAGCTGCCGTCGAGTCAGCTCCAACTCGTGGCGACTCCATGTACCACAGAGCGAGGCGTTGCACGGACCTGCACCATCTTCATGATTGTTGGTATGTTTGAGGCTGTTGTTGCAACTATTGTGTAGTGTCTTCTAACCTAGGGGACTCATCTTCAGCACTATATCTAACAATAGTGTGTTGTCATCCCTATGGTTTTCATTGGCTAATTTTCAGAAGTAGATTGCCAGGCCTTTCTTTCTAGTCTGTCTTAGTCTGAAAGCTCTGCTAAAACCTGTCCATCTGTCAGTTTTTCGTACTGTGGTGGCTTGCAGTTCTGGAAGCTATGTCACCAAAATTTCAAATACCAGCAAGGTCACCCATGGTGGACAGGTTTCAGTAGAACTTGCAGATTAAGACAGAGGTGACTATACCTGCTACCTAAATGAAAGCTGGTCATGATCAGAGAGAAGGACTCCTTTTTTTTTTTAAATCTATACCTAGCTTAGACCAATCACGATTCAACCTGCAGGTCTGGAGTACCTTTGCTAAGTATGTTAATACCGTACAACGTTTGTGGTTCTTCAAGCTAAGGATAAAGGGGGAGGAGGTGGCTGGTTATGCCTCAACAATGCCTGCCTGACACTTGTTTGATCTTGTATCCCTTGCATCTGGCAGTATCAGACACATGGTGGATACTTCGGGGTTTCTGTCCAGCTAAGAGAGAAGAACTTTTAAGACAGACCTCCTTCCCGCATACCACCTGCCCCTGCTCGCAGGTCTGGTTTTCCGTGGTGACCAGATGATGGTGTTATCCTGGAGAAGGGGATTTTAATGTCTGTTTACCTGCAGTCCTTGTTTCTTTGAGGCAAAATCACACCATATACTTGGTATTCTTGGAAGGGTTCCCTGTGTTTCACTTACTGAAGATGTAGGCAGCACACCCCTAGGCCTTCTCTTTGTAGGCACTTGAAGACGGGAAGCAGGTTAGGTTTGTTAAGGATTTGGTTGTTGACACTCTTTGCTTGAGAACCAGTGACATGTAGAATGTGGCACGATTCCAGTGATGAAGGCATTTCCCTGGGTTCATCAGGGACTAGTGCGTTCTTATCTTGGGTGGCACAAGTTGAGGGTCCAGCCCAGCCTGGTTTCCTGACTTTGAGCAAGTGTTTTCTTTGCTAAAGCTTTAATGACCTAGTTCTGAATACTGCTCATTATCCACCTCATTTGATCTTCTGTTTTCTTATTATTCTTTAAGATCTGGAATAGTTATTGTGTGTTGGGCTTCACATGCATATCTCATTTATATTATTTCCTGCTTCTAAATATTTGGCAGCCCTCAAAAGTATGAATAAGTGACTGACCTTGACTCTTGTCTTCTCCATGCTAATCACCCCTCGTTCCTTCTACGGTTCCTGCAGTCCTAGTTGACACAGTCTCTGGCAGCTTTCTTTGTCCTGGTCACCTGATTGTGTGTTTCCCAGTTTGTCAGTGCTCCTGTTAATGCCCAGTCTGGAAATGACACTCCACATGTGCTGTGAACAGCCCACAGTAGGACTGTTACCAAGAAATGAACTCGATACTCATTCAACGCAGCACACCATTGCCAGTGTTTATATAGCAGTTACGTCTTAATACCACCCAGCCCCACCTCTCCATGCCCCCATTCATTATCTTTTTTCTTTTTACTTTAACTGCTATGAGGCAGAGGTTCCTATTGTTCTGCAGTTGTAAAGAACAAAACTTGACATTTCTCCCAAACCGTTTTACTCATTCTCCACCCTGGGGACTTGGAGCATTATTACATCAGAACTATATGAATGGGGGAGTCCCTGGGTGGTGTAAACAGCTAATGCTGTCAGCTACTAACTGAAGGGTTGGAGATTTGAAGTCACCGAAAGGTGCCTCAGAAGAAAGGCTTGGTGATCTACTTCCAAAAAAATCAGCCAATGAAAATGCTGTGGAGCACAGTTCTACTCTGACATGCTTGGAGTCTCCATGAATTAGAGTTGACTTGACAGCAACTGTTTTTTTTTTTTTTTTTAAAATATGAATGGGAATCTAGCATAATTCTGATGCAAGAAATTGTTGAGGGGGGTGAAGTTTTTTTTTTTTTTTTTTTTTTTTAAAGATATGTTAGGATTGGCTCTGTTAACAGGAAAATCCTTCTCTGACTCCCAATCCTTGGGTACTTTTCATTAGTAATTACTAGTTCATGGGTTTGTTTTGGGTTTTGGGTTATTTTTAGTGTCCACAATTATATAGATTAAAAGAATAAATTGAATGTTAATCCTCTTTAGGAAGCTGAGTGCCTCAGTGTAACCAAATTTCTAATCACATAGGTCCCATGTGGGCCATTGAAGGCATCTACCTACTGCATTGTTCGAGGAGGGTGTTTCGAGGTTTTAACCCAGCCTTCTCCTTTCGTTGCAGTTACCTGGCTGAGCAGTGCTGGAATGGCGGCTTCATCTACTTGATCATGCTGCGTCGCTTTAAGCACAAAGTCCATTCTCCTTATAATGGCAACAGTAGCAACAGCTCTGAACCAGGAGAGACACCTACCTTGGAGCTGGGTGATCGAACTGCAAAAAAGGGAAAAAGAACGAGGAAGTTTGGGGTCATTTCTAGGCCTTCCACCAACAAGGCCACTGAAGAATCCAAGAGCAGCACTGGCTGTGAGCTGGACAACGACCTCAGCTCTGAGCTGGACAATGGTCCAAACCCTGAACTTGGAAATGGTCATGTCTTTGAGCTAGAGAATGGCCCAGATACTCTCAAGGAGGTGGCTGGATCCCATCTAGAGAGGTCAGAAGTGGACAGAGGGACAGAGCACAGAATTCCAAAGACTGATGTCCTTCTGCCCACAAGCCACGACAAACGCTACCTCTCAAAATCCGGGAAGACAGACTTCCAGTCAAGTGACTGCCTGGCACAGGTAAGGTTTGGTTTGATTGTAGAACCTGAAATATTTTGAGGTTGTTTTAAGGTTTAGAAAATATATCTAAGATGACCTTGCATTTAGAAGCAACGGAATTCATTAAGATAAATGACCTGCAGACATAACAACAGCAATGTTCAAGTCATTTTATCCTGTTTAAATAAAGAGCCAGTCAAGTGACCAGAAGTGGAAAATGCAAGTCTTCTGTGGTTATAATTTGAGTCATATGAGACGCAGATAAAGTACTTGAGCTGCACCATTATTCATCAGCTGCTGTCACCACTGGAATTGTCACCACTAGGCCAAGAATTCCTGGTGGCAGTTGATAGCAGAACTATCCCAGCCTCAGTATTATACAGGAAGGATGTCCTATGTTCAGGGAAGCATCTGCTTTTATTTTTAATAGTTCAAAAGCGGTAACATTTTCATGGGATCATGTGTATGGCATTGCTGAATTACAGAGAAGTTTGGAATCTTCACAGAAACTTCTGATATTATGTTATCCAACTCTGATGGTTAAGGTTGGCCTTACCTAAAAGTAAAGCAGATGTGGTATAATCTGAATGGTAATGGGTAAACTTCTAGCTTCAAATTGTCTCCCCCATTATAACCAACATTCTCTCATTAGAGTTACATTTCTTTGGGGTAAGCATGTTCATTCTAAGAATCCTCTTGGCCAGCATTCCTATGGGTTCCTAATGAAGCAGTGACTTTCTAGGTGGTTGCTGATTGGTTTCTTCTCTGGCTCAGGAGACACCCTCTAGGGATGAAAGGGAAAGGTGGAGAATGGGCGGAGTCAGACAGGTCTAGGAGGTGTCAAGTTCAGCTTTGCATTCTAGGAAATGTTGCCCTGAGAGCGAAGGCAGTGTGTATTAATTAAGGCTAGTTGTTGTTGTTGTGTGCTGTCAAGTCAATTCTGACTCATAGCGACCCTATAGGACAGAGTAGAATTGCCCCATAGGGTTTCCTAGGCTGTAATCTTTAAGTCTTGTCTCCCGCAGAGTGGCTGGTGGGTTCAAACCACCAACCTTTTGGTTAGCAGCCAAGTACGTAAACACTGCACCACCAGGCCTCCTATAAGGTCACTATGAGTTGGAATCAATTCCTGGCACACGACAACAACAACTATTAAGGCTACTTATTGCATATTTCTGCAATTTTAGCCGATCTGTGTGATAGATTGAGAAGAGTCAAAATAACCCCTCCCTCAAGGGATCATGTTCTTTCATTTGGAGCTGGATGATCTTCATAAAACCTTACACAGACGAGGCAGTCACATTATTTGTAGATGGGATGTGTAAACAAATGAGAAGGAAAACAATTATTAATATCTTTATCAATGATTTTCTACCGATTTATGGACCACAAAAGAAGGATTAAGGGTGATAAAAAGATTATAATGTGTACCCCAAAACCAAAATTAAGGGCAATAAAATATTATAATGTGTTCCTTATTTTGTAAAAATGTTATAATGTGTTTCTTATCAGTGAATACAATATCTCGATATGACTTTTTTCTAATGATTAGGTTGTGAATACACAGGATGCCTAAAGTGAATAAATGAGCGAGTGTTGACTCCCTTAATCATTTTGAAAGTTAAGATACCAGAGAAGGTCAAATCTTACATATAATCCAAAGGATAGCCTTTCTTTTGATCTAAGATATAGTGGATATCTTTGATCTTCATCAGTAAGTGCTTCAAGTCCTCTTTGCTTTCAGTGAGCAAGGTTGTGTCATCTGCATATCACAGGTTGTTAATGAGTCTTCCTCCAATCCTGAAGGACATCATGCTTGGGAAAGTAGAGGATCAGCAAAAGAGAGGAAGACCGTCAATGAGATGGATTGACGCAGTGGCTGCAACAATGGGCTCAAACAACGACTGGGAGGATGTCCAAGGACTGGGCAGTGTTTCGTTCTGTTGTACCTAGGGTCACTATGAGTCGGAACCGACTCAATGGCACCTAACAACAGTGAAAATAACTTAGAATGATTTAAAAGAAAAAAACTTTTAAGAAAGTACCCAACCTCTGTTCCTTCCTCTTAAAAGCAATGAAATAAAATTGGATTTTTGGATTCGAGTATCTGAAGACCACACATATCAGGGTTCCTTTGCCTGGTTGTCAAGTTCAAGGTCAAATGTCCAAACAAGATGTAAACAAGGGTGAAAAAACAAACCTGACCTATTGCACTTGGGGCTTTTTTTGTGTGTGTGTGAGCCACATGCCAATAGAAAGGAGAGACTCGCGTCTGGAATTTGCATTCTTGACAACTGTCCATAATCCAACTGATTATTAGCCCTAAGTCATACTTTTGGTTTCTGTAACTTGTGCTGGGCCACACACCTTCTCAAGCATTATTTGGTATCCCTTTCTTTCAACCCCAGAAGTGCCTTCATTAGTGGGTTTGCCCTGGATTGATAGAGAGTTGGCAAGAGGTTGAGCTCCATATACTGGAGACATCTAAATTGAAACAAATAGTCCTTCACAGAAAGTTGCTTAGGTTCTTGTGGATTTTTATTTTTACTCCAAGTTGAGACCAAGATCTTGCTAAAACGGAAATTTTCAGGACAACAAAAATTAGCTATACTGCCTAAGCCTTTGAGGAAAAAATTCCATCCATTTGAGTAATGGGAGATTAAACATGCCGATGTTATTCTGTTTCTGTTTTATTGATGATTTAATGTACCTACAAAGACTGAAAAAGTTACAGAAAAGGCTTATGATGATCTTTCAGACCATATTTTATTTGTCAAGTACTTCTTTTTCATACTTACTTGTTCTAAGAAAACATTACATTAAAATAAATTTTTAGTCTTTGTTTTTATGTTCTGTTCTCCCTTAAGGGAGCTATAAAACCAAAACCAAACGAAACCCATTGCCATCAAGTCGATTCAGACTCATAGTGACCCTACAGGACAGAGTAGAACTGCTCCAAAGGGTTTCCAAGGAGCAGCTGGTGGATTCAAACTGCCCTCCTTTTGGTTAGTAGCCAAGCTCTTAACCGCTGCGCCACTAGGGCTCCAGTGGAGCTATAAACCAAACCAAACCAAATCTGTTGCCATCAAGTCAATTCCAACTCATAGCAACCCTAGAGCACAGAGTAGAACTGCCCCATAGGGTTTCCAGGGAAGTGCTGGTGGATTCAACCTGACATTTTGGTTAGCAACCATAGCTCACCATAGCTCTTAACCACTGTGCAACCAGGTCTCCAGTGGAGCTATAGGAAACATATTTCCTTTTTAAAAATATTTTCTTTTAAAAAATAGTATGTTTCTGTAAAATATTAACACATAGTGGTATATATGCAAGCAGATTAATTTTAAAAAATAAAATAGTTTGGTCCCTCTTATCAAACATAAAAATCTCCTAGGATATAGACAAGCAATTTTAGAAATGAGTTCAGAGTTCTTTATTAACTTTCTAGTAAAGATCACTACTCATCTCAGATGACCGTGTTCACCAGGCTGTGGAAATGAATACAGCAAAACTTAGTCACATAACATAAAAATTAAAAAAAAAATCCTACCATTTGCCAGCAGCTGAGTTTATTCACAACTGGCATGTGTATGTCTGTGGCTGTATCTGTGGTCTTACCTGGTAGTTGTAATCCTCCTGGCACAGCACTAGACCTTCCCTATGCCTCCTTGGTAAGTGGTTCATCAGAGACCTCATAAAGACCAGCTCAGATCTGAATCTACAGAAAAGGATGGGAAACGTGGTTGGAGAGTCGGACTCAGGACAGCCCCCAGGTGGTCCCCAAAGTACTGCAAACAGAGGCGGCCTGAGGAGCATCAGAGGATGATCCTCTTATTTAGGAAGCCCCCATGATCCCTGAGTGAGCTTATACCCACCTTCATGGTGACATCTCCTAAGTCCACACTGTGCTTTCACCTCTTTCCTGAGCCCCTGAGCTTTATGTCAACTGCCGGCAAGATGACTGCGTCTTGTATATTTCACATCATGCCTAAAACTCAATACATGGGTTTACTGCGCCACAGAGCCCTCTCCAATGTTCCAGAACTCACTATCCACAAAATTGCCCAAGCCAGAAACCTGAGGTTCACCTAGGGTGGCCAACTGTCCTGGTTTGCCCAGGACTTTTCCTGTTTTCACACAGAAAATCTCATGTCCTGGGAAGCCCCTCAGTCCTGGGCAAACGGGGATAGTTGGTCATCCTAGAGTTAACTGAGATGCAGCCCTCTCCCTTACACCATGCCCAATCAATCACCAAGTTCTGTCCTTTCGGGTCTTAGCTCACTCCACCTGTCTTCCTCCATTTCCCCAACTTTAGGTCCGGGCCAGGCCACTTTCATTTCTCATATGCACGGTCATAGTAGTCTCTAACTCTACTCACTGCCACCTCTCATGCCACTCATCCACTGCTCTCCCCCGCCGCCACCACCAGAGGGACCTTTCTAAGGAGCAGATTTCTTATACACATTCACACAGGCACACATGCATACACACACACACCAGCTTAAACCCTTTTGGCAGGTCCACTTTGCCTTCAGGATAACATCCAAACACCATGGCCTGGCAGGTGCTCATTATCTAATCCCTGCTCAACTTTCTTCCTCCATCTCTCACTTTTTCCTTCCCTGATTTGGACTGAATTAGCTGCAGTTTTTTTTCAAAAGGCTATGCTGTCTCTTGCCTCTGAGCCTTTGCAGTTGCTGTTCTCACTCCCTTGTTTCTTCCCTCCACAGTGGAGCTTAGCCTCTCCCTTTCCTGGGGACCTAAGCACTGTGATCTCCTTCTCTAGGAGGCTTCCCTGACACTCCTGCCACCTGCCCCCATGTTCAGGCATCTCTTCCCTGGGCTGCTACAGTGCCCCCAGCTTGCCCTGACAGTCAGCGTGTGAGTCCCACATATTTCAATTACCATTTAGCCTATTGCTCTTCCCAACAGACTTTAAGGATGAGGGCATTGTCTATCACCAGTACTAACTTGGTGCCTGGCACCTCTTGGTGTTCATAGGTACTTACTGATGAAGGAATTTAAGAGCACCAGGACTGGGAGCTGGGACACCTACATTCCAGCCCCAGTTCTTCTGCTTCGTGCTCTGTGGTCTTTGGCTGCCATGTCCTTTCTCTGGGCTTCAGTTTTTTCACCTGTAACTGAGCATTTTAGTCTGATGACTAAGGTACTTCCAGCTCTGAGGCTACAATCACACACCTTTGCCTGCCCTTTATTTCCTACTGATCATTCTTGCCCCGGTGGCGCAATGGTTAAGAGCTATGGCTGCTAACCATAAAGGTTGGCAGTTAAATCCACCAGCTGCTCCTTGGAAACCCTATGGGGCAGTTGTACTGTGTCCTATAGGGTCGCTGTGAGGTGGAATCAACTCAACAGCAACAGGTTTAGTTTTGTGTTTTTTTTTTTTTAATTCTAAGTAAGAAGGGGTAAGCAAAGAGTCTCAGAATAGGTTTGCAGCCAGAGCACTGACTACAGTAAAATTCTGGTCAGATGATGTGCTTCCTCACATTTGGAGCAAAGATGCTGTTGTAAAATTTCACTTTTGGTTCCAACAGAAGATGAGGTCATTTAAATGCTTCTGAGGCATCTCCCTGTAATGCGCCACCTCCGTTTTGGTAAATAAATCCCTTCGTTTGCCTCCACGAAGAGATTCATGTGTGAGTTTCCACAGTAATCGGCAGTTTATAGGAAAGGTTAACACCCTGACAGCATTAATACAGAAGTCTGTAGCATCCAATGTTACATGATTTGGCTTTTTCTCAACAGGCTGCCAAAATCTCATTGCCTGTAAGCCAACGTAAAAAAGAAGCAAATGCTCAAGTCTTCTGTCTAGACAGAGTCTGTTTCAGAACTTGGTCATCTTTACAACCGGATCAATGTTCACACACTGAATGTTGGCAAACATGCAGGCCTCCCATTGGGCAAGCATCTTAACGTCAGTTTCAGTGACTGCCAAAGAGCCATAAGATGAGTGGATGAACAACCTATATTAGTTAACTAGGCACTGTTCTAGTTGCTAGAGAACCTGTGGTAAACAAGACAGACAAGGTTCCTTCTCCCGTGGCATTTATAGTGTATGTTGTGAGGTGCTGTCGAGTTAGATCCAACTCATAGCGACCCTGTGTACAACAGAACGAAACACTGCCCCATTCTGCACCATCCTTACAATTGTTACCATGTTTGAGCCCATTGTTGCAGCCACTGTGTCAATTCGTCTTGTTGAGGGTCTTCCATAAAAGGCCACAAACAGGAAATAAACAAATCAATGAATCAGAATGCCAGAGGGTGACAACAAGTACTTTATTATAAATAAAACAGCCAGGGGAATAATGAAAGAGCAACTGGGCGTTTTGTGGGCAGGGGCCTAATTGACATTGCATGTCAGAGAAGACTTCGTCAAAGAGGCAATGTTTGAGCGGAGGCCTGAGTGTCAGGAAAGGGCAGCCCTGCAAATCTGGGGGCAGAACATTCCCAGAGAAGGACCAGCAAAGCAGCTGCCCAGGGCCGAAATGGTAGCATGTTCCAGAAGCACAGAGACTGAAACACAGTGAGCAAGTGATAGGGTTAGTGCTAGGAGATGATGCAGGGGATGTGGACAGGGGTAGATTACAAACCCCTAAGGGTCTGTCGGTTTGTTATACTGTGGTCGCTCGCATGTTGCTGTGATGCTGGAAGCTATGCCACCGGTATTTCAGAATGGCAGCAGGGTCATCCATGGTGGATAGACTTCTTATTTCTGTAGTCCATCAATGGCCCCTATAGCTCTTGAGAAAGGGGTGCACTGCTTTTCTGTAATGGGGGAAGGAGGAGCATGGCCCCACATCTTCACGACCCCAGGAGCCATGGCATAGCCTTCCATGGAAAAAACAAATCAAGCCATTCTGCTCTTGTTTCTCAGCTGCACAGCTGGGCCCAGGGAGGCATCCATAAGGCTCTCCCATGGGATGCCCAGCAAGCTGGGACAACAGTTAATCAGCACGTCTCTGAATTTGTTCCTTCCGGTGCTATCCAGATGGCCATATGGTCTTACATATTGGAAGTATTGCAGGTTGCCATCTTGGCAGCTGCACTGATCCTTGAGGATGGCTTATTGGAAGTAGTGGCGTTAAGGGAGACTGAAGACCAGAGAGGCTGTTTCTGAATGAGGAAGAAAAAGGTGTTCCAGAGGTTAGAGGCAGCAAACCAAAAACTGTGGAATCCAGAGTGAGACTACTGGATGATATAGGGATTGTTGACAAGTTCATGAACTCCTGTGGTAAGCCAGTGACTTCTGAAGTTACATTTGGCCAGACAGGCTTCGTTTTTCTGTGGTCAGGGGATGAAGGAGGCAGTTGGCACCACTGTGTGTTGCTGGAGTCATGGAGCCCCACTGAGCAGTGCTTACTAGAAAGACTGGAGGATCCAACAGGTCTCTGTCTGGAAATAATTTCCCTAGACATTCCTATCAGTGCACATCAGTGAGCATTCAAGATCTGTTTTTTGTTTTTTGTTTTTTTTACCATTGCAAAAGTTTCATTTTAGTTTCTGACAGTGTGCATTTCAGATTTTCTAAATGTTTCACATTCTCCTTTGCAAGCAGCTTGAATGGGCAGGTTGCCTACTTACAGGAGGATGATCACTATGTCAGTGTTAGACCTTAACTGCCCCATTGGTTCTTCATGTTGGATGAAGAAAGCAAATGGTTTTTGTCTTATATGTTGAGGAATATGTTATTACCCATATCCGTATATCTCAAGCTAAAAAGAGCTGTAGGGGGTGAGCTAAAGACCCCAAAATAAATCACTTTTGAATGTTTTGCTTTCATTTCCCTGAACAGTTAAGTATCTCCAGGAACTCAGAATTTTTACAGTGGGCATGTTTGTGTCCTCGGAGTAAAAAGAGATGTCAAGTGGAGAATGAACCAAGGCAGAAAGGCTACCAACGATCAGAAGGCTTCACGACATTTATGACTTTTTTCAAAAGGATAGGTTTTTATAGAGGTTGAAGCGTTTTTAGTGTATTTAAAAACTATATGGCCCAGTGTCTATAGCAGTCGATAACAAAATTCACCAATTAATTTTCTGTTTTGGTTTTTCCTACGAAAAATCTCAATTAGAATATTTTCAGTAAGCTTGAGATTGAATTCAATATGATGTTTTAAACATATCTATGCATATATCTGTATGTATAATGTAAGTAATACGTGATTACCCATCAACATGGGTGTGGGTGTGCTGCTATGTGTTTTCATAAATATTTCATTGAATCCTAACACCAAGCCTGGAAGTATTAATAATTGTCCCAACCATAGAGACAACGAAACAGGGGTTTAGGCATCATGTGATTTCCATAAACTAGCAAATGACAGAGCTGGGTGCAAACTAGTTGAAGTCTCCTGGCACCAAGACCTCAGCTTTGTCTTTCTTTCATCTTCCTTTATTAATGAGTAGCTGTGCATAAATAAAAGGAAGCTAGACACAGTGTGTTTACACACACAGCAATATTTAAGTTTCAGGCAGAAGTTTCACTTAACAGGGCCCAGCTCTGGGAACTTAATATTCATTCTTGCTGTGCTAGCCAACATCATAGCCACTATAGGTGACTATTTAAATTTAATTAAAATTAAGTGAAATTAAAAATTCAGTTCCTCAGGGCAGCTAGCCACAATTCAAATGCTCAATAACCCCATGTAGCTAGCTAGTTCGACAAGCAGATAGACAGACAGATAGATAGCCATCATCGAGTTGGCTGCGACCCATGACAACCTTATATACAACAGAACAAAACGTTGCCCAGTCCTACATCATTCTTAGAATCACCAGCATGTTCGAGTCTATCATTTCGGCCATTGTACCAGTTCATCTCACCTAGGGTCTCCCTTACCCTCGCTGGCCCTCTACTTCACCAAACATGATGTCCTTCAGCAGTTGATCCCGGTCACTATAAGTCAGAATCGGACTTGATGGCAATGGGCTTGGTTTTTGGTTTTTTAATGACATGTCCAAAGCAAGTAATGGGACAGTGTTCTATTGTGATCCATAATGTTTTCATTCACTAATTTTGGAAGTAGATTGCCAGATCTTTCTTCCTAGTCTTAGTCTGGAAGCTCTGCTGAAACCTGTCCACTTCAGTGATCCTGCTGGTATTTGAAATACCACTGGCATAGCTTCCAGCATCAGAGCAACACACAAGCTACTACAGTATGACAAATTGGCAGACAAGTGATAGACATGTGGCTACTGGCTCCATATTGGATGGTGCAGACATAGAACATTTCCATTATTATCACAGAAAGTTCTACTGAACAGCACTGCTGGCTACAGACTTTGGTCCAACCCACAGAATTTTCCCTTCCTTGATAATTTGCATCTGTTGACAAATGATGGTTAACTGGCCTGACATGACAGTTCTGCTCTCCTGTGTCAATGTCGCGTCTCTGTCAGTATACTTTACGGTGTGCTCACTTTTTCTTCCGAGGAGGAAGTTGGCCGGATATGGAAGATGGAGCTGCTCAAAGAATCGGATGGGCTGGGAATTCAGGTTAGTGGAGGCCGAGGATCAAAGCGATCACCTCACGCTATCGTTGTCACTCAAGTGAAGGAAGGAGGTGCCGCTCACAGGTGACTAGATAATTCTTCCCCTTTTCTTTGCCTCCTTATCTTCTCACTGCCTCCTCCCCACGCCTCCCTCCACCTTTGTTGTAGTACTCTTCTACTTGTAATTCGAGAATTACAATTCTTAAAGATTGTGCTGGAGCACAGAAGGAAATCAGGCAAGAGCGTTTCTAATTAAACACCTCTGAGCACAGGAAATGACTAATTGCTGAAGATACTGCAGGATCTTGCAAACCATGAAGGAGAGATTGAATTCCTTCCTTCCTTCTTTCCTTTCTTCCTTTCCTTCCTTCCTTCTTCCTTCCCTCCCTCCCTCCTACCTACCTATCTTCCCTTCCTTTCTTTTTTTCCACTTTTAGTTTCAAGCAACTGTTTCTTCTCCTAACTTTTGGAATGCTGGCAATGTGGTAGTATGGGGTGACTTATCAAGAATATGCCACTGAACAGAACACCACATTCCTGACGTCATAACTCCCAGAAGACTGTGGCTAATGACTTAGGAAAGTGATTGATTTTAAATGTGACCACACTTCATGTACTGGGGCTTTACTTGTCAGGCCTGTTGGGATTTTACACACTGTTATATGCACGTGTCTCTGTGGAGGGGAAAAAAAAGTACATGTAAATTTTTCTTCTTGTGACCTGAAAACAATTCATACTTTGAAACTCTTTTTTAAATCTGAACAGCTGTCTGAAGTAGGAAGAGAGACAGTGCTTAGCCAGAACAAAGAACAAGTTCACTGTGAGTTAGAGGGATGCGGCTACCCCAAATTGTAATGCGTGTTCTTGCCAGGCTAGCTAATTGCTTCCATGTACATAGGGTACCTAAATGGTCCCTGGGTGGTGCAAACAGTTTGTGCTCAACTGACAACCTGAAGGTTGGAGGTTTGAGCCCACTCTGAGGTACCATGGAAGAAAAGGCCTGGTGATCTGCTTTCGTTAAGGTTATAGCCAAGAAAACCCTATGAAACAGTACACTGTGTAACACATGGGGTCGCCATGAGTCAGAATAACACAACAACAACTATTTGCAAGGCACCGTGGGGCATGCGGAGCACTGGCGGCACAGTGGTTAAGAGCTTGGCTGCTAACCGAAAGGTCTGTAGTTTGAATCCACCAGCCACTCCTTGGAAACCCTATGGGGTAGTTCTACTCTGTCCTATAGGGTCGCTATGAGTCAGAATCAACTCAGCGGCAATGGGTTTGGCTTTTGTCTTTGGTGGGATGTGTATGTATGTTGCATACCCACACAGACATACCTGAAAAACCAAACCCATTGCCATCGAGTCAAATTGCGACTCGTAGGAACGCTATAGGACAGAGTAGAAATGCCCCATAGGGTTTCCAAGGAGCAGCTGGTGGATTTGAACTGCTGACCTTTTGGGTAGCAGCTGAGCTCTTAACCACAACACCACCAGTGCTCCGCACAGACATAGGAGGTGTATAAAGAAAGTTCCTGTGATGAGGGAAGTGATTGTCTTTGGTCTAGACTGGAATTTGGTGTTCAGTTCCGAGTACCCGGATTCTAAGGAGGAATATGGCAAACCAGAGCAGTATTGGCCTGCCCAAGACTGAGAGGGCTCTCAAAACCATATTTCATGAGGAACAGTCGAAAGAGCTATGATGACATTTAGCCTGAAGAATGGAAAACGGAGTACAAACTAGCAAAGTGTCTCATGCTAACAAGTCCTCCTACAAGAAAGTAGAATGTTAATAGCTAAAGTAGAGATAGGATTAACTGTAATTGTCAGTTACAGAGTGTGCTTTGAGGAGCTCCCATTATATGACCATTTTCCTAATAATCCCAGGTCTTAGGTTCTGGTCTATCTTTGAAAGTTGCCAGTTAGGAACTTCTGTGCCCAGAGATGTACTTCTGTAGACTGTTCTTGCCTATTTTCCATCTGAGCTGTTTCTAGTGGATCTTACCATTTTCTTTGCATGTTTACCCTGGAGTTGTGTGTGTCTCTCTCTACCTCTGGAGTGTGTGACTCACAAGTGGGGAACTCTAGTTAAAAACGGGAAATGAGATAGATACAATTAAAGAGTAAAAGGCAGAGAAATAGAAAGAGTATTGGAGTTGGGAATGATCTCAGTGGTGTTGTAGGTAAGTAAACCCGGGACACTCACCAGAATCATTGCATTTGTCTCTGTTTCTAAATCCTTCTCCTTCTGTAGGAAGCATCTTCTCCTGAGTGGCCCACCCACACACCTCCCTGAGATCCCACTTTGTTCTCTGTGGTTTTCCCTTTCCCCTCTCTTTCCATTCCAAGCAGTTAGTGGGGCCCTTAGCATTTCTCTGATTCAGGGCCTTTTGAAGGACAGAAAGCAGAGGATATTGGAAGTCGCTGGTGCTTCCTGTCTTCTGTTAAAGCCTAAATTCACAGAAGAGATTATGATACATATCATAGAGGGAGAGAAAGAGAAAAAAACAATTGAAGGCAGTAGGAGAGGTAGAGAAGATGAAGGAGAGAAGTTGGTTGATTCACTGGAAGAAAGCAACAGGGGAGAGAACAGAGTTGGGTGAATCTGGCGGTACTGGTGATGTGCAAGGTCTTCATACCAGTACCCTGGGTGCTGGTGACAAGCCTCCAGAGGAATGGTGGAATCCAGGGTCTCTCAGCCTCATCAGATTTCCTGTCCCATACTTAGCAATGGCAATGAAAAGCCCCTGGCTCCTTTGGGATCAAGGGAGACTGGACAATTGGAATTGGCTCGGTTGAAACCAACAGGACTGTTGACCCACCCATGACTGAAGGGGCTGCCAGATGCTCTGTAGAGTGCACCACCCCACAGCCTTGACCCACCCTAGGGGAGGCATTCCCATGACAACTGGGTCTGAACCTCCTGCCAGCCCAGTGGAAGGAAGCTCAAATTTAAAAGAAAGAAAGAAACAGAGAACTTGGGTACACCCATGTTTGTAGACCAGGTCTCATGCTTGTTAATTGGGCAGTTTATTTGTCCATTTGTTTATTCAGCCTTCTGCTTGTGAAGCTTGGCTGTGTGGACACAAAGATAAAAATGGTGCTGACAGACTTTATCCTCAAGGTCCTGTAACTGTCAGGGAAGAGAGACACATGCAGTGTAGTCACAGGTGCCGCAGAGGGAATATGATCAGGGTCATGCCACGTGGGAAGGGAGAAGTAGTGGGTTAGAAAGGGATCCTGGTGAGCTTAAGATACCTTTGCTATTTGGGGGCTTAGCTCAGGGACTGATAACTCAGTCGTGAGGGCAAGATGGCAGGTCAAGGAAGAAAAAGATGACTTGGACATCCTAAAACATTGGGGCCTTTGTTCCTCTATCACTGTTTCCACCTGGATAGGAGATGCTTATTGGCATTGATGCCAGGTATGGTAGCAAGTTAAGAACATTCTTATAACTAAGTGACCATCTGAAATCATTGAGCTTTTTACCCCTCTAGTGAAACTCTTGTGGTGCAGTGGCTAAGAGCTCAGTGCTAACCAAAAGGTCAGCAGTTCAAACCAACCAGCTTCTCCTTGGAAATCCTATGGGGCAGTTCTGCTGTGTCCTATAGGGTCGCTATGAGTCAGAAATGTCTTGATGACAGTGGGCTTGGTTTTTGTAGTGGGACTCTAGAGGAGCCCTGATGGTGCAGCAGTTAAGCACCTGGCTGCTAACCAAAAGGTTGGCAGTTCAAACCCACCCAGTGGCTCTGCAGGAGAAAGACCTGGCAATATGCTTCTGTTAAGACTACAGCCAGGAAAACCCTATGGGGCAATTCTATTCTGTCACGTAGGGTCACCATGAGTCAGAATTAACTCAGCACTATGGCACCGAACAGCAATAGTGGGACTCTGGACACAGTGAGACAAAAGGACAAAGCAATCCCACCTCAAACTGTCTGTGGTCATCAGTGCTCTCTCTTTAACCCAGTTTAACTGTTTCCTCTCACGACCCTCCCCAGCCCCACAAAATGTCCCTTCTCAGGCCCAGAATGTCTTGACAAGGGGTTTTGTTATCCTCTTCATTTCCTCAGGGATGGCAGACTGTCCTTAGGAGATGAGCTGCTGGTCATCAATGGTCACTTACTGGTCGGGCTGTCTCACGAGGAAGCTGTCGCCATTCTTCGTTCAGCCACTGGAATGGTTCAGTTGGTGGTAGCCAGCAAGGTAGGTCGTTTTTGTTTGTTTTTAGTTGTTAATATTTTTGTTGATTTTTAATATTTTTAATGGGGGTGGTGAATTTGGATTGAGCCCTGTGCACCCCACTCCCTAACACACACATCCTGTGTACACACTTGCCAATTTGCCTGATGCCATTTAAACATCTGGAACTCTACAGTGGAAGCCCACCCGGAGGCCCTTAGCTGAAGCAGAGTCGTTTGATTATTTTGTTTTCCTTCAGGGGTCTTTGTGGTCCCTGGTGGTGCAAACGGGTTGTACTCAGCTACTAACCGAAAGGTTGGCAGGCCAAACCTAACCAGCAGCGCCGTGGAAGAAAGGCTTGGCCATCTACTTCTGTAAGATTACAGCCATTAAAAGCCTAGGGAGCAGAGTTCTACTCTGACACACATGAAGTCGCCATGAGTCAAATCGACTTGATGGCAACAGGTTTTTAGGGTCTTTATAGGTATATGTCAGGAGATGGAAGGGTGATACTAGGACCTAGGGAAAGGTGAGAATGGTAGGGTAGAGAAAGGATGTGTAGAGATGAGTAACTCTCCCAGGGAGAAACTGAAGAGATGTGGAAGTCTGCTGAACAGCAGGGAAGAGAGGGCCACGAAGATGCTCATCAGCCAAGTTCTGAAGGAAGAAATGTTCAGGGGTAGCCGAGGGCAGGCCACCAACCTGACTTTGATCCAGTATTGGAGACGGAGGTGTCTTTGTGCATCCTGTTTGTCCACTCACCCGGGTCCTTCTCTTCCTCCCCTATTTTACACATGAGAAAGTGAGGCAGACCTTCTGTGTCCCATTCATCTTCCTACAAAGGTCGAGATGCCATCAACAGCAGCAGGACTGGCCCCCAGTGTCTGTCCCTGTCCCCTCCACCTTGCTGCTGCCTCTTCTTCCTGATTTCTCTCTGCAGGAGATCCTGAGATCCCAGGCTGGGGCTTGTTTACTCCCACCCCTGGAGTGTGTTAAACATAGAGCTGATGTTCTGGGCTGCCAACATCTGCTCTTTCCTTTGGGTTTCACCAGCCTTAAAGTACTGAGTGGAGTCCCTGGGTGGTGCAAACGGTTAGTGCGCTCAGCTACTAACTGAAAGATTAGAGGTTTGAGTCTACCCAGAGGCACCTCAGGAGAAAGGCCTGGTGATCTACTTCTGAAAAAAATCAACCATTGAAGACCTTGTGGAGCGCAGTTATGCTGTCACACACGTGGGGTCACCATGAGTCAGAGTTGACTCAGTGTAACTTTTTTTTTTTTTTTTTTAAGTACTGAGTGAGTAAGTGCTGAAGGACTCCACAACTGTGGGATGAGAAAGGGAGAAAGAAGGGACCTCTTGTTTCTGATTCATTATCTGATCGTGCTGGTGGTGAGCCCAGAAAAGGACCCGTGTGACTGAGGAGGTGCTGAAAGTGGGGCCTCGGGGCTTCCTTATCCAACCTTGCCTGGCCCACCTCCCCACAATCTGTGGCGTGAGAACACAGGGGTTTTTGCAGAGGCATCTCACCATCCATCACCAAAGCTTTATGTCTCTGCTGACTTCTTTCTGTTGCTAGTTTGCATAATAGGGAAGGAGAAATATTTTCTCTGTCAAGCCATTATCCAGAAACAACTACAAAAACAAAACATAAAATAAAAACCACAAAGGGCCACTTGTGTAAAGCTAATAATTAAGGGTCATACATAGGATTTTGAAAACTAGTTCCTGTGTGATGCCCAATCTATGTCTCACACCCCAACCTGAGTGAAGAGAGGACACTAACATGTATCTTGTGCCCACTTGGTGCCGGGGGCTTTTCACCTAATATCTCATTTAATTCTTTTAAAAAAGAAAAAATCCCATGAGATAGGTATTAGTTCTTTTCATTCAAAGGATGAAACCAAAAGCCAAGTGGCTAATTAACTTGCCCGAGGTCATGCAAGCAGTGGGTAACAGAAGCTGGTCTCACCCTGGAACCATCTGACTTCAAAGTTCATACTTCTTCCTGTACACCAAGCTGCCCTTCATTTAAGTAAGAAATAAAGGACACCAGAGACAGTGGTTCGAGAAGAAGGTAATGTGCTCCTGCCAGGGGTTTTGACTTTTAGGAACACTTGCTGAGGTCATTGCAGGACTGAAAGGCAGTCTAGAGCCAAGGAATGAGTTTCCATCTCAACGAGTAATTTCTGTTATAAGGATCAGCACAAAGCTGGTTCCTATGAGGCGGTGGTTAAAGATGTCCCAAGTGTCTAACTTTTCCAAGCTGCTGTACCACTCCATCATCTCTAACATCAATTACTCTCTTTCCCCTCAGCACTCTCCCTCCTGTCTTTGGGTTCCCTAGTTCCCTGATTCGCTGCAACGTCTCACAGAACTCATGAACTGAACCCTGTAAAGGAAATGGCTCACGCAGTTGTGGAAGCTGGCAAGTCTTAAATTCGTGGGTGAGGTGTGGACTTCTCCCTGGCCCTCAGTCTCCACCCAAAGGCATTCAGCTTTCTTGCTCCATGGGCCAGGAAGCCCACTGCACCATCTCCTGCGGGTCTCTGCTGCCAGTCTCTGCTGCTTGTCTCGCCTTCTTTGGTAGTGGTGGGCTCTCCTCTTTGCTCTGGAATTAGCTCTCTCTTAAGGCAAAACTGACCAGTCCCCATGGTGAGCCACAATTATCTTATTTGCACAGCCCTACTCAGTCACCTGGGTGGGAGTCACAAGATCATGGCTAGAAAGGCCACACACAAAAGTAACTAATCACACCGCACCATCCTGCTTCTCAGTCCAGTGGCTGCTGGGCGTCTGAACCGAGATAGAGTCCTAAAGCTGACCCAGACCTCCGAGGAAAAACACCTTTCACTTCTTCCAAATTGCTCCATTTACAGCTAGGCAATACACTTCCACAGCAGTTGCATGCTGTTTGTTCCTAAGCTTAACCCACATCCTTCGAGATGCTCATCCTTGTCCAACAAAAAAGAAGCGGGAGTCTTCAGGCACTTCTTGGTATCTGTTCCTGCTCCTTTATCCAATGTGAGCAAGTAATCCACTGGCTTTGTTTCTGTCTATGCTTGAAGGGGTGGGAGGAGAGCTTTGACTTGCTGAATATAAGGAATAATAAAAATGTAAACTTCTTTTTGTAGATAATAATCACCTTGTCACAGAACTTTAAGGCATTGTATTAGAAATAGGAGTCCCGATGGTGCAGTGGTTAAGTGCTCAGCTGCTAACCGAAAGGTCAGTGGTTTGAACCCACCAGCCGCTCCACAGGAGAAAGATGTAGCAATCTGCTTCTGTAAAGATTGTTGGTGTTGTTATTAGGTACCATCCAATCAGTTATGACTCACAGCAACCCTGTGTACAGCAGAACGAAATGCTGCCTGGTCCTGCACCATCCTTACAATCCTTACTATGTTTAAGCCCACTGCTGATTTTGAGTACCGTCCAACCTGAGGGGCTCGTCTTCCAGCACTATATCAGACAGTGTTCTGCTGCTATCCATAAGGTTTTCACTGGCCAATTTTTTTCAGAAGTAGATTGTCAGGTCCTTCTTCCTAGTCTGTCTTACTCTGGAAACTCCACTGATACCTGTCCACCATGGGTGACCCTACAGGTATTTGAAATATCAGTGGCATAGCTTCCAGTATCACAGCAACACACAAGGCACCACAGTACGACAAAGTGACAGAAGTAGTGGCCCTCGAAACCCTATGGGGCAGTTCTGCTCTGTCCTGTAGTGTCAGTAGGAGTCAGAATTGACTAGACACCGCACAACAACAATATTAGGAACAGAGCAGTTAGTGTTGAGATGTCTCTTGTTCCTGTACAGATATGTTGTTTGCTTGAAGTAGTACCTTAGTAAGCTTTTGTTGAATGAATGAATTTGAAATATCCAAGTTAGTTTTGATATCTCTAAAAGTACATGCATAGCAATACAGATTTCTCACACTTTCTTTTTTTTTTTTTTTTGGTTTTTATTAACAAGTAATGTATGTATTTATTGTGTTTAATGTAGAATCCCCCCAAAAAAAATGACAGAGAAGAAAAAGAATAGAATTATTTCTAATAGTAGTGCTATTAACGAATTGGTGTATCTTTCAGGCAGGTACACATGCACACAGGCACACACATGATTTTTTTTAATAGAGTCAAACACAAGGGGACAGAATGCATCCCGAAGGCCATCCCACCTGGACTTAAGTGCCAGCACAGCCCCTTGAACACCGCGGATCTTGGACAAAGTTATTAAACCCATCACCATGGAGTTGGTTCCGACTCATAGCAACCCTATAGTACAGAGTAGAACTGCCCTATAGGGTTTCCAAGGCTGTAATCTTTATGAAAGCAGACTGCCACATCTTTCTCCCATGGAGCCGCTGGTGGGTTTGAACTGCTGACTTTTTGGTTAGCAGCTGAGCACTTACCCACTGCACCATCGGGGCTCCTAATAAAGTTACAATGTCAGTTTTCTCATCTGTACAGTGGGAATCGATAATTACCTTGTGGGGATGTTAGGAAGATTAAGTGAGATATAAAGGACACCGAGCAGTGTAGTTGGTCATAGTGAGCACTCAAGAAATATTTGCCTTTATGGTTATCATACATTATTACATCCAGCTTATTATTACATGCTTTATTAATACCATCACTTTTGCATATTGTTTTTAACCTGCTTAAATAGTGCACTGTAAGAATCTTCCCACATCAGGAAGTACATTTCTACAGTACCATTTTTTAATGGCCCTGGAGTATTCTATTCTATGACTATTACAGTATTACTATTACAGTCGAGTAAATGTCATAGTAACAGTGTCATAGTAACAAATAGTAACGAATGCCATAGTAACAAATAGTTTTGTAATGTCCATTGTTTAACCTGTTGCCATCAAGTCATTTCCAACTATAGCGACCCTATAGGACAGAGTAGAACTGCCCCATAGGGTTTCCAAGGCAGTAATCTTTATAGAAGCAGACTGCCATATTTTTCTTCCAGAGAGTAGCTGATGGGTTCAAACCACCAACATTTTGGTTAACAGCCAAGTGCTTAACCACTGTGCCACCAAGCTCCTTACGTTGTTTCAAATGGGTATTTTTTTTGTTCTCTTCTCTGTCAACCCTAAAAGGAATGCGGTGATGAAAGCTTTCCACGTGTTTTCTTCCTTGTAGAAATGACAAGTAGGGAAGAATGCGGAAAGGAGACATTTCTCTTTTTTCTGTCCTCAAGGCAGCCCTGTAGCCCTGGCACCTTCCCTGCTCCCTAGCCTGATGTGCTGTGGCCTTTCTCAAGAGAGCTGCCAGCTCGCTTGTGTGTTCCTCATCTGCCACTGGGGTTGTCACATGGCCTTGATGATCTCACCTGCATCCCACAAGCCGCACTGACTTACCTGTGCGTGGAACAACGAGTTATATTGATGAAGCTCCCTTTAGAGTCTAATCTGAATGGAATCTGATTCCTTGTATTTTTGTTGACCTTTAAAACTTGTTTAAGGGCTGCTTTCACTGAAAAGACATTATCAGTCTCCACTTTAGCATTTTGATTCAATAAACAAATCTCATCTCTTTCCTCAGCAACATACCAAAAAAATAATTCACCATGATCAAGTGGGATTTATACCAGGTATGCAGGGATGGTTCAACATTAGAAAAACAATCAATATAATTCATCACATTAAGAAAAGACAAGAACCACATGATCTTATCAGTCGATGCAGAAAAGGCATCTGACAAAGTCCAACACCCATTCATGATAAAAACTCTCAACAAAATAGGAATAGAAGGGAAATTCCTTAACATGATTAAGGGCATTTATACAAAGCCAACAGCCAACATCATCCTAAATGGAGAGAGTTTGAAAGCATTCCCCCTGAGAACTGGAACTAGACAAGGATGCCCTTTATCACTGCTCTTATTCAACATTGTGCTGGAGATCCTAGCCAGAGCAATTAGGCTAGAAAAAGAAAGGGCGGGCATCCAGATTGGTAGGGAAGAAGTCAAAGTATCTCTATTTGCGGATGATATGATCTTATACACGAAAAGCCCCAAAGAATCCACAAGAAAACCACTGGAACTAATAGAAGATTTCAGCAAAGTATCAGGATACAAGATAAACATACAAAAATCAGTTGGATTTCTCTATACCTACAATGTCATCTCTTTCCAATGAACATATGCTAGTGAGATGAGCAATGTCGGATAGGAAGTAGAATGAATAGTTGAGCTCTGTGCTAGGCCTAGAAATAAGAGAGGAGTAGAATGGTGTTAAGTTTGATGAACTCCCAGACAAGTAAGGGAAATAGACAAAGTTAGATATAGTCTGCCTTGGGAAAAAATGAAATAGAAAAGAAAGGAGGGACAAGGAGAATACCTTCTAAGGTGATTCAGGAAGTCTTGGAAAAGGAAAAGGAGCTCACGCTTTGCCCAGGCAAATAGGTCCTAGTCATGGAAGAAGAGTGGCTTAGGCAAAGGTGAGTGCCAGGGTGATATAAACTTTTAACGCACTTGGCTGCTAACCAAAAGGTTGTAAGTTTGAGTCCACCCAGGGGCATCTCGGAAGAAAGTCTTGGCAGTCTACTTCCCAGAAAATCAGCCATTGAAAGTCCTGTGGAGCACTTGCTCTAACACACATGGGGTCACCTTGAGTCAGAATTAGCGGCACCTGGACTAGGCAGAGGGTACTGCTGGTAGAAAAGGCAGTGGGGCACAGGAAGCCTTGTGTGTTTGGAGGTCAGTATCGTTTGAGTGGAAGGTGTGGGGTGGAAGGGAGAATGGAAGAAGACGAGCTTGGAGAGCTTGGCAGAGGCCAGATATCCAAAATGCTGGCCCACAGCAAAGGGGTTTGGACTGTATCCTGAAAGTAAGAGGGGGGAGGGCAAGGAAGAGTTTAATGTTCAGGGAGCTGGTGTTATCCATGAAAGCATTGATCTAAGAAACACAGCTTCTTCAAGGAAAAACAAATGGTCTGGGTTTAAATTGAGTCCATACCCGTGGCATTTGAGGCAGCCTTGCAAGCCTGGAAATGCAGAACGCTTATTTTCACGTAGTCTGTGGATGGGATGACTCTCCCTCAACCTTGACCCTTTCCTCAGCCAGAACTGTGTGGTGCCCTGGGATAATTCATGGGCCTTTAATTGTGTCCCCATAGGAGAGCTCTGCAGAGGACCTCCTCAAGTTAACGTCGAAGAGTTTGCCAGATCTGACCAGCTCTGTGGAAGATGTGTCCTGTTGGACCGATAATGAAGACCAGGAGCCAGAGGGGGAAGAGGATGAAGGAACTGGCTCGTCTTCTGTCCAGGGAGCAGTAAGTGTGCCTCTGGGCCTCCCAGGCTGTCCTGAAGACATGGGTGCCAGAATCAGAGGAGAAATGCTTAAGATGGTATGATAGAGATGAGGACGGGATGGCATCTAGAAGGCGAGGGCCCCGGGAGAACCAGGCCTGGTCCAGTGCTGCTGTATCTGGAGGCAGAAGAGGGGCAGCCAGTACAAGATATTTTCTAGACTTCACAGTCCACGCAGGGTCTGCCCTGCTGTGACTTATAAAAGAGCTGATCTACTGGGGAAATGAAAGAAAGAAAGAGGAAGAGAGGGAGGGAGAATAGTAGGTGATACATTCTGGTTATACATTCACAGTCCAGAACTCTTTAAGTTGTAATTTTTTAAAATTGATGAACCAGTTAAATTAAAGACACCTGGTATTGCCTTTGAATCAGCTAAACCTTGAAAGCTTTTTATTTCACAGACAGCAGTGATTAAACCTGCTGCCAAATTCCACTCCGCCATTGACTGTTGCTACACCTGTAAGTAATGGTGGGCTCTAAGCACTTAGGCTGAGCAAACGTACCGCAAATACTAAGGATCTGCCATGAGTACCTTTACTATTTGTTTTTCATTATTTACTTTACAATAAACAGTGACGAGACTTTCTTTTCAATAAGCTCTGTCCATGCTCAGAATAAAACCATACGGTACATATCAAGTTTGAGGAGTGGAGGAAGGAAAAGAGGAGGAATGGTGAAATTCCAGGCATTTGCATTAACTTCCATCCGTTTCAGTGAGTCTGGCTTTAGTGACGGGGCTGTCTGACCACTGCCGCCACCACCACGTCCAACATTAAGGACTGCCAGTTTGGTCTCAGAAATATCTAAGTTTAGCCCCTCCCACCCCCTTCCCTATTATGGCTGTGGTCCTGGTCTACCTCATTGGCCTTTCTTCCTTGAGTATCTTCTCCAGTTCATCTTCTGCTCTGCAAGGACAATAATATTTTAAATGAAAATTGGGCCGTGTCACTTCGCTGTTGAAAATCAGTAAGTGGCTCTCAATCATTCTAAAGTTAAAATCTCAAGTCCTTAACCAGGTTTTAGTTTTAACCTGGGCTGCCTTCTCTCTTAGAATATGCTCCCAGCAGCCCTACACACAGACACACACAGACACACAGACACACAGACACACAGACACACACACAGACACACACACAGACACACACACACACACACACACACACACACACAGTGCTTCTAACAGCCCCCCGACACCCTGCTCCTGTCAGCCCCCCTGCACACACACTCACTCTGCTCCTATCAGCTCTCCCTATACACACACTCTGCCCCTAAAAGCCTCCCCCACAAGTACTCTGCTCCTATCAGCCCCCCTACACACACAGTGCTCCTAACAGCCCCCATACACACATGCTGCTCCTATCAGCACCCCCCACTCTGCTCCTAACAGCCCCCCTACACACACACACTCTTCTCCTAACAGCCTCCCCCTGCTCACACACACACACTTTGCTCCTAACAGTCCCCCCCCATATACACACACACATACTCTCTCCCCTCCTAGCACTCTGAGCTCTGCTGCACACAAACATCCACTGGGACCATTCATTGCTTTGTGCCTTTGCGTCTGCTGTTTCTTCTACCTCATACACCCTCTCTCCTTCTTTACTGGGCAAGATCCTTGTCAGCCCAGCCCAAACATCACCCCTCTCCTACCAATGAACCTTTCCCTGAACCCCCAGAGTTACATGGTCTGTGCTCTGCGCTTGCAGAGCTCTGTGTGTATATTTCTGTGATCGCACTCACCACCTAGTTTTCATAATTTTATCTTTTTACATAATTTATTTATTCTGTCTTCTTCATTAGATGTAAGCATTTCAAGGGCAGGGACCGTGATGCCTTAAGCATCTGTCTATCCCTAGGACATGGTATAATGCCTGGAATATGATGAGGGCTGAAGGATGGGAGGGAAGGGTTCTCCTGTGATGTCCTCTCATTCCTTGAGCACTTCTTATCCTGCCCTTGAAGCGCACGTGGTTCTCTGACGTCCCTGAGGCCCAGTTTTGAGTCACTGAGCCTCTGACTCTCCTCCCTCACTCCTCTAGCATCCAACCTGTGCCCTCCCCTGACCCTTCCCAGTCTGCTCTTCACATGGATTGACCCCCTGCCCTCTCCCCACCATTAGGGTGTCAGCACTCTGTGGCATTGCAGCATTGCGAGATCTGGCCTAGCCACTTATTGGAGGATGAGGAAGAGCATTTCTTTTCTGGTCCTGTGGCCAGAGGGGAGGGATCCTGTTCAACCTCAGGTTTCACACATATGGAACGAAATTGGGGCAAAGCAGCCGAGAGCTTAAGCCTGCGGAGGATGGTGAGCTATAATTCCCCTGCGGATGCCATAATCCCCATGGGAAGGAGTGTAGTAGTTGAAAGCACCAGAGAGATGGCTGTGCTTGGGGCATTCCACGTGTGGGATGCCTACACCTCCTCTCTGATTATCTAAGCACTACCTTCCTCCCGGAATCCCTGGTTGGTGCAGATGGTTAATGTGCTTGGTGGCTAACCAAAAGGTTGAAAGTTCCAGTTCACCCAGAGGTGCCTTAGGAGAAAGGCCTGGTGATCTACTTCCAAAAATCAGCCATTGAAAACCCAACGGAACACTGTTCTACTCTGTCACACAGGGAATCACCATAAGTTGGAGTTGACTTGAAGGCCACAGGTTTTTTTACCTTCCTCTCAAAGTCTAGGTGAAGTCCTAAGTTATCTGTGAAGCTTTCTTCTACTTGAAGTATCTGCAACCATCTCTGTCTGTCAGACTCACTAAGCATTGCTCCCCCTGGCATTTAGCATCTGCTATTTTCTGTAGATTGGTTGCTGCTTATCTCATTGGGGAAGAAAAGAAAATACATAAAGTGTTGAAGCTTTTGAAGTCAGGTATACCTCTTTGAGCCCCCTAACCAAAAAAAAAAAACCAAACCCGTTGCCGTCAAGTCAATTCCGAGTCATAGTGACCCTATAGGACAGAGTAGAATTACCCCGTAGAGTTTCCAAGGAGCTCCTGGTAGATTTGTACTGCTTACCTTTTGGTTAGCAGCCGTAGCATTTAACCACTACACCACCAGGGTTTCCTTTGAGCCCCCAGAAGCCAATAAAGTACCTTGCATTCAAGACACGTTATCGTTGTTATTTGTTGCCATGGAGCGGGCTCCGAGTCATAGTGACCTTATGTGTAACAGAACAAAACATTGCCCAGTCCTGCAGCATCCCCACATTCAGACCATACTCAGTACATATGTCTTGCTCATGAAGCTATCTATAGAGCAATGGTTCTCAAAGTGTGGTCCCCAGACCAGCAACATCAGCATCACCTAGGAACTTGTTAGAAATGCAAATCCTCTGGCACCACCTAGACCTAGGAATCAGAAACTCAGGGGTGGTACCCAACAATCTGTGTCTTAAGAAGCCCTCCAGGTGATTCTGACTGAGACTACAGTTTAAGAGTCCATGCAATCAGCTGAGTGGTGCGTGTATTGTTGTTATTGGCTATTCAAAGAAAGTGAGTGTCTTTCTCAAGTATAAGGTCTCTGGTGGGCACGAACAATTTGCACTTGTCTACTAACCTCAAGACTGGCCATTTGAACCCACCCAGTGGCACCACAGAAGAAAGGCCTGGCAATCTGCTTGCGTAGAGATCATAGCCAAGAAAGCCCTATGGAGCAGTTCTACTCTGTAACACATGGGGTTGCCATGAATTGGAATAGACTGAATAGCAACAGGTTTGGTTTTGGGGTTTTCTCAAGTGTAAACAATTACAGTTCATCCTAAAAATAAGATTTTTCAGGAAGAAAAAATTCAAAAGTCCACGTTCTGGCCTTCAACGACAGTGACTCGCAAATGAAGAGAGAAGGAAGAGTTTCAGTGTAACAGGGCATGAAAGGGGAGATACCTTCTCAGGGATTTGGGGCCTGTCCCTGTTTGTATATTTTTAACAAAGACCAAAAAAATAAAAACGGAAGTAATGGTTGTCTTTGCCAAATCTGCAATTGTTGAAGCTTGGCCGGGAAGAGTTTGTTTAGCACATCAATCAGGAGACCTGTATCTGGCTTCCTTTGGCATCAAGGGAGTCAGTTCTAACATTTTTGAAATCACCAGTTTGGGGCAATCTTGGAAAACTTCTGGGTGATTTGGGTTTGAGAAGGAATGGTTAAAGGACCTCGCCTCTCCCAAAGAAAGAAGAGCAAAGCTGGACCTTATAATTCTGTAAGTCTGAGATCGATGTTTGATTATTTATTTGTTGGTGTAAGAACCCCAATCACAGTCTTGTGGGGGAAAAAAAAACTGAGATTTTTTCAGGAGAAAAAATAAGTATCCTTGGAGTAAGCTATTGATCCTTTTGTGGAAAGGAGAAGACCTCTTGTGTTTTATTGGAATTGAGTAATTGATGAAGCATGGCTCTAAATGTTTCAGAAGGTGCCTGCTTATGACAGCATCTTTTTTTCTTACTAGCAGCTTTTACTGCAGACCTGGTGGCACCATGGTTAAAGTGCTCAGATGCTAACCGAAAGGTTGGCGATTGAACCCACCAGCTGCTCCATGGGAGAAAGATGTGGCAGTCTGCTTCCATAAAGATAACAGCCTTGGAAACTCTGTGGGGCAGATCCACTCTGTCCTATATGGTCGCTCTCAGTAGCAATCGACTCGATGGCAGTGGGTTTGTTTTTTTTTTTAGTTTTTTACTGCAGCATCTGAAAGTATCATTTCTGGTTGTTGCTTCAAGTTGCCCTGGATTAGAAACTGTTTCTTGTTGGGGCCTGAGCTAAATTTTTCTGGTCAATTGAACTTAGAGCCTAATGCAAAGAACAGTGAGCAAGCACCAAGGGTGTAAAGGTATGATTGTTTTTAAAATGGAAAAATCCCAGTGTCTAGCTTGAAATCAGATCTTTACAGAGTAAAACTTCAAACACAGAGAGACACCAACGCTTGCTCCCTGAGGATTTGTAAGGTGAGTGAAGGTTCGTTCCCTAAAG